GTAGACGACATAGTTCATGTCAGGGGACCAGTTGTCGAAGGTATCGCCCCACGCAGGAATGACACTGAGGGGCGCAACAATGAGGAAGGGGCCCTCCTGCTCACGCTCGTTGCGCAGCCAACTGAGGAACGACACGCTTTGGACAGTTTTGCCGAGACCCATCTCATCAGCAAGAATGACATTGTTGGCACGGGTCCAGTTGAGACATAAGAAGTTGAGACCTCTGAGCTGGAAAGAGCGCAGTTCGCCGCCTTTGATGTAGTTGGGTTGCGCCTCAAGCTTGGTCATCCTTGTCCGCGTCTCCGGGTTCGATTCCTTGCGGTCAGAAACCCATGAGCGCGAAGACCGATCCAGGAATTGGTCAATCTTGTCCTGAAAGTCCGAACTGATGGCAGATGCTGCTTCCCACGTACACTCGTCGTAGTAGCAGCCCTTCCACTTGACGAGGTATTCAGTCTCATCATCGCCATCGCGGACAGCAACGATCCTGTCCACCTTGGTATAGTCTTCCAATGCTTCCTCGGCTCGTTCGCGATCCAGGAAGAATTGTTCTTTGGTCTCGGGAGGGATGTCCTCGCCAAATCGAATCAGAAGCTCATTCTCCACGATGGTTCGGAAGTAGTTCTCGACTCTCCGGTAGCCTCGCATGCCACGTAGAGTGTCCGTCGTCTCCCATGTGTCGTGAAGGTGTGACTTTCCTTGCCACTTGATATAGTACTCGAAATCGTTCCTCGTTGAACTCCAACTGAGCTCGAGGTCATCCTTGAGCTTGTGTCTAAGGACTTTGTCAATGTATGGGGAGTCGTCAACAACGTCCGCTGCGTAGTAGTTGGGCGTGAGCTCGGATCCGTCTTCCTCGTCATCAACATCGCTCTCCTCATAGGCACCCTGCTGTACTTGGGCGGCCCGTCTGCTCGACCAGCGTTTCTCGGTGAGAAGGTTCGGCTGGGCCTCACGCTGACGTCGTGCCTTCTTCTGGAGACTCTTTGCGCGTGCACCGCCGTAGTTATCAGAGTCGGAATCAGAATCCGTCGACGGTTGTCGTGCCGGCGTGCCTCGTTTCGAAGCTACAGAAATGGGGGTTAGCATTGATAAGCCGCTCTCATCGAGTTGCCTAAGGTGATGAAGCTTACATTGTCTGGGTGTCTCGACGCGTCTTCTTTTGACGGTTCTCCTATTGATGGGAGCTGCGTCGGATTCGGATTCATCAGAAGAATCGACCTATTATTGCCATGTCATTAGCTATAGTCACTGATGGAAAGATCGAGTCCAACCAACCATTCTACGCTGTTGCGTCGGGCGGGACTACAGAGTGCTGTTAGCTAGTGTGGTAATGTGCGTGAGCGGGCAAAGACCGTACACTCCGTCTCAATCCGTATAGCTCGGGGTTCGCCTTGATAAAGTCATCCTCTCTAGCGGCAGGTTTCCGCTTCATGGGCTGCTGGGAGTCGTTGGAGCTCGATTGGACGTCACCGACTCCCTCGCTCTGGACAACGGACGCCGCGTCTTCATCCATATCGAAGTCGGCGTCATCAGATGCGTTATTTTCGTCACCAGAGCTTTCCGTTTCAGCAAAGTCAGGGGCGCCATTCATGTAACCGGTCGAGTCGTTGGGATCCGGGGACGGCGACGATGAAGCGAGACGTGTGGCATTCTCGCGCATATCTGAGAGGTCGCTATCGCTCTGGTGCCCGGCAGCGACTATTGGTGAGGGGGAATCGCCCTCCGGCGACCGGTACCCGTTTGTGGGACCGGGTTCGAGGGGGCTAGACATGATGATGGTCTAAGTCAAGGCTGCCGGCTATGGATGACACGACGTTAGCCCATCGCCTCATCGCTTAGGAGAAGAAGCGCAAAGAACGCGTGATGATTGACGTCTGGCGACCGGGATAATCATAGAATATACAGTGTAATTCAAATAATGACCAAGCTATCGGCCTCGTCGCATCGCGGGGACGCGGTCGATGGAGACGAGGCTGAAAGTTGATGGCGATGCCATTGTGGCAGTCAGCCGAAGCCAGAAGGCCATGACGGGTCACCAGACCATCAGAATCATCAAGAAAAGTCATCTCCATCGACGCGGCGCATCCCATGGATAGCTGAGGTCATACCCGATAGGGATATCAGGATGGGAGCGCGCCGCTACGAGGCTGGGCTTGATGGCTCGTGACGGGAAACTTGCTGACCCTTACAGGGCCAGTAACCAGAGGGCAGGAGAACAACTTACAAGTCATTAACAAATGGCCTCCAGGCAGCAAGTACCATTGATCTTGACCAAAGGAGGTATTGAAGAAAGGAAGTGGACAAGTGACGTGCTGGGTAGTCTAAAGGCCTGGCGGGTGAAGGGTGGTGGTGGATGGAAAATGCACTGGTGGAGAGGCAGGAAAGAATTGAGGTGGATGCACGGGTGAGGTACAGGTGGTTGTAGCGCTAGCCCACACTGAATCACCCCCAAAAAGGTTCAAGTGCTGTGGCCTAAGGCAACAACAGACAACCATACACAACTGCGCTGCTGTTGGTGGTAGGAGGTAGGCATGGGAAATCGACGAATAGGATAGTAGAGAACTGTGCAGAATGTGGGTTCAGTAGCCAAAGCGCACACACCCACTGAACTCGCCGAGCAGGATTCACCAAGACTCGGAACCCCAACTGCTTTTGACAACGCAACTCCAAGAGCATCAAAAGGCCGTGTTTTTAGCCTCTACAGTTGCTTTTCATACCACGTTCCAACCCACAACTAGGTATTTCTGAATAGCTAATCGATATTTGGCTGGGATGGATAGCTTCGTGAGATATTGCTCTGTTGAAAAGGCTTTGTAAAAGTATCTCTAGTGGTGAGTGACACATAATGATGCCGGCGCCGAGACCCTCGCCATGACCTCTCAGAGGCAAGCTGACGATGTTGAGTCTTGGGCGACTCGAGGATCAACTATTGTCCGCTTGCCGCGCGGCGTGGTGTTTCCAAGACAGTTTGCACCAATCAAAAGGGACAGTGGCTTGTTGATATATAGACAAAGAATTTATCGCTTGTTTGAAGCCTTTTGTTTTCACTGATATGCATGGCGGTCAACATGTTTTTTGTCACACACCTTTGAGAAAATTCAGTGAAGAGGATCTCAGTCAGGAAGGATTAAACATTGACTTGTAGTCCTAACTAACCCAGCGGTCTGAGGTCAACAACCTTTAGCCTCTCAGAATGCTTGCAGGCGATCACAATCCACTTCTATCGCATCATAACACTGCGAATAGACTAAAACCAAACCTTGGATTTACAATGGGGTTTGCCATGTGTGCAATTGGTTTTTAACTGAAGGAGTGTGATACTACTTCTCCCAACATTACCTTCTTGTTGCTTGGTCACGACGTTGGAATGGTACAATCGATAATGGAATTAAAGTCACTTAGAATAATAGGGAAGCCGGGAGACGAATAAGCATCCAAGACCTGGAAGTGAACGACCCATGTTCCAACTCATTTGGAGCCCAAATGTCGCTAACCTGACTGAAAAGCTACTTAGTCTAGTTGGCTGGTGAGTCGACATTTGAGTGGCAATAGTCCGTCCACCTTGAGCGGGCCATCTTGGCGGCAGGTATATAAATAGAGATAGATATCCGTTGTCAATACAGTTGAATGCGAGCTACTCCTGGAACAGTGGTCACACTAGCCTGTTGAATGGGCATTCTCCAAGCTAAAAGGTAACTGTCGCCCTGACAGACCGGAAGGCACAGGCTCAAGTCTGTGACTTCTCGAGTGAGTGGATGTACAGGCCAAGTTCAGCTGAGACATGTCAAAAACCCTCATTACTGGATTCAGTTCCGATTCTTCAACGAGTACACAAATGGAAGCAAGCCGGCAAAGACTGCTGGGGAGACAGAACTGTCACAAAAGGTGAGCCAACCTCCAGCGGTTACACTACAATAAACAAGCAGTGAGGCCAGCAGTTTGGCCTCAATCAGAGCTGTGATGTCAGGCGGTGAGAAAGTACCAATAAGGTATCCATGACGACTTTCTAGCAGATATAGTACTTCTAAAGTACCTGACAACCCTCCCTAGCGGGGTAAACTTGGGAAGTGATAGGGTAGGGGAGTTGCCCCGCCAAACCTGGCCAATTCACACACTCACAACCAGTGACGGCGCACACAAATTGGCTGACGCGCAATAACTGTGTGTGTCTCTCTTCTCTGGCACCTCGCAAGAAATTGGAAACCCAAAATTCTTTCCCCCTTCCGTCACCCTCAGAAGGCTAGGTCGCGACGCCTCGACAATCCTCGCCAATCCTCGCCGAATTACCGTACCGGCCCTGCTGCTTTACCTTCTTCTCTCCTGATCCCGCTTGCCCTGCAACCGCTGCACGACAACTGCTTCTCAACCGCGCGCGTCTCTCCTCTTATTTATTTGTTGTTGTGCCCAATCTGCGCGCACAAATTTCTGCCCCACCATCTCGTCGTTAACCCCGCCTTCGATCAGCCGGGCACCATCATCACCATGTCGGACAAGCTCACCCGTGTCGCCATTGTCAACAGTGACAAGTGCAAGCCAAAGAAGTGTCGCCAGGAATGCAAGAAGTCATGCCCTGTCGTTCGCTCCGGAAAGCTCTGCATCGAAGTCAGCCCCGAGTCCCGCATCGCCTTCCTCTCCGAGTCACTATGCATTGGTTGTGGTATCTGTCCCAAGAAGTGCCCCTTCAGCGCCATCACCATCATCAACCTGCCCACGAACCTTGAGACCCAGGTAACCCACCGTTACTCTGCCAACAGCTTCAAGCTTCACCGTCTGCCTATGCCCCGTCCCGGTAATGTGCTAGGTCTCGTCGGAACCAACGGTATCGGAAAGAGTACCGCCCTGAAGATTCTCAGCGGCAAGCTCAAGCCTAACCTGGGTCGCTACGACAACCCTCCCGACTGGGAGGATGTCATCAAGCACTTCCGTGGCTCTGAGCTCCAGAGTATGTCTTCCCGACTCTATAATCCTTCGATCTCCAGTTGACTAACTTGCCACATCAAGATTACTTCACCAAGCTCCTAGAGGATGACCTCAAGGCCGTTGTCAAGCCCCAGTATGTCGACCAGATCCCTCGGGCTGTCAAGGGCCCTCAGAAGAGCGTCCAGCACTTGATTGATGCTGTGAGCACCCTCGGCAACAAGAAGGAGGTCTGTGACACCCTGGAGCTCAACCATATCATGGACCGCGAGATCAACCTCTTGTCCGGTGGAGAGTTGCAGCGTTTCGCTATTGGTACAGTCTGTGTCCGCCAGGCCGATGTGTACATGTTCGACGAGCCGTCTTCCTACCTCGATGTCAAGCAGAGACTCGCAGCTGCCCGTATCATCCGCTCTCTTCTCCGCGATGACGACTACATCATCGTTGTCGAGCACGACTTGTCCGTCCTCGATTACCTCTCCGACTTCATTTGCGTTCTGTACGGCAAGCCGGCCGTCTACGGTGTCGTCACACTGCCCCAGTCTGTCCGTGAAGGTATCAATATCTTCCTCGACGGTCACATCCCCACCGAAAACCTGCGTTTCCGCGACGAGTCCCTCACCTTCAAGCTCTCCGAGGGTGCCGACGAATTCATGAACGACAAGTCTCGTGCCTTCAAGTACCCCAAGATGCAGAAGACCCTGGGTAACTTCAAGTTGAGCATCGATGCTGGCGACTTTACCGACTCCGAGATTATCGTCATGATGGGTGAGAACGGAACCGGAAAGACCACTTTCTGCCGTCTCCTTGCCGGTGCACTGAAGCCTGACACCAAGTCTGCCGTCCCTGAGATGAAGATCAGCATGAAACCCCAGACTATTACCCCCAAGTTTGAGGGCACGGTCCGCCAGCTCTTCTTCAAGAAGATCAGGGCATCCTTCCTGTCGCCCCAGTTCCAGACCGATGTCGTAAAGCCCCTGAAGCTCGACGACTTCATCGACCAGGAAGTCAAGAATCTGTCTGGTGGTGAATTGCAGCGTGTCGCCATCGTCCTAGCTCTCGGTTTGCCCGCCGACATCTACCTCATCGACGAGCCCTCGGCCTACCTCGACTCCGAGCAGCGTATCATCGCCTCCCGCGTCATCAAGCGCTTCATCATGCACGCCAAGAAGACTGCTTTCATCGTCGAGCACGACTTCATCATGGCCACCTATCTCGCCGACCGTGTCATTGTCTTCGATGGCCAGCCCGGCATTGACGCCCACGCTAACAAGCCTGAGTCCCTTCTGACCGGCTGCAACACATTCCTCAAGAACCTCGACGTCTCTTTCCGTCGTGACCCTACCAACTACCGCCCTCGTATCAACAAGGCCAACTCTCAGTTGGATCAGGAGCAGAAAGCCAGCGGCAATTTCGTAAGTCACAAGCAACTACCGTCAGCCATGGTCACCTCACTAACTCGCGAAAGTTCTTCCTGGACAACGACGACGACAAGACGAGTTGAAGAGGGCATCCTTAAGGATGTTTTCCCTTGTCATGATGCATTCAACTCAGGCGTTCAGGGCGTTCAAAAGGGGCATAAGCGGCTGCTGGGGACACGCGCTTCCGGCTGTCAGGATCATGGTTCCGGTTTAGAGGAGGATGACACGTCCAAGGATGACGACGCCGGCGGATAACAACGGCGACGGCAGTCTATCCCCTGTTGCCTGGTCCTACGGAGATGCAAGGTTTCTTATGGATATGGTGCCCCTCTACCACAAGTCCGATGGGAGGGGAACTGATAATTCGCGACGGGCCATTGGTTTTCATTGGTCTCACCTATTCATATGGGAGCTTGACTAATCCGTAGATTGAGGGGCGATGGATTAAGCAGGATGACTGCCGTCAGTCTTTGTTGCACATTGTTCTGGAGCAAGACTCGTAGATACACTTCAAGAGACACATACACACGTCTCATGCCAAGAAACGAAAATACACAAGACCGTCGTTGAAGCAAAGTAACTTTTGTTTTCTTCGTTTTGCTACTGTATACGTAACTAACTAACCATTAGAACATAGCGAGAGTGAAAAACGATACATACGAAATCTGGCCGGCCCTAGGATTGGATCCCCAAGACAGCCGGCATAGCGGACTACTAAAGGCCTCGCCTCATAAGGGCATATGCGGGCACCGAGGAAGAAAGGCCGCGAAGCGGGGGAGCGATACCATGTAGTCTGTAACGCGCTGCGGTCATCAGGCTCTCAAGTAACGGCTTGGTGATTCCGATACGTACTCGAAAGTCACTCTTCGTGGTCCGCAAGTGCAGTTGTTCCCGAGGCATCGCCGATGAACACGATCAGTCCTCCTCGATCTCGCCTTCTTCGGACCCCGAGTGGACACCAGCGGGGTCATCCTTCTCCTTCTCCCTCTCCTTTTCCTTCTCCTTCGGGGCGTCCTTGACCGTCGTCGTTTCCTTGTCCTTGGGGGCAACAGCAGAGGGCGCGGTGGCTAGCGGCGGAGTCCTGTTCTTGTGACGCGATATATCACGTTGGGGGGTGCGCTCACGGGGTGTTTTTTCTCTCCTCACTCTCTGTGTCGGTTGTCAGCGGCTTGGTCCGGAAGAGGCACGGTGGACTAGGCTGTGCGTCGTACCTTTGAGTCTCTGGAATCCCGTCGATCATCTTCGTCCTCGTCGCGGCGGCGTCGCGATCCAGACGGGCGCTCATCGCCGTAGGGAAGCTCGTCATAGGAACCCATGCGTCGTCGATAGAGCCTCTCCCGCTCCTCCTCCCTGTCCCGTCGTTCGCGGTCATAATGACTGTCGTCGTCGCGACGAGAGCGGTGGCGATCATAGTCACGGTCACGCTCGCGGTCTCTGTCGCGCTCACGCTCCCTCTCACGGCGAGGGGGAGGTGACAGCCGGCGTTCCCGGTCCACGGAGAGAAGGCTCTCAGCCATGGTTGATTTACGGTGGTTACGCTCGCGCTCGGCAATGGCTTTGCGTCTGTCCGCCTCATACGCGTCCGGCTCCGGGCTACGACTTCGCCTGGTAGCACGGCCACTGCTACGATGAGATCGCTCACCTCTAGACCTGGGTCTTTCGCGGTACAAGTCGCGTTCGCTAGAGTCGCGGCCACGTCTGCGTCGACGGTCACGGTCGGCCTCTTCCTCCTTTTCGCGGAGTCTTCTCATGTATCTATCAAAGGTGGCGATGCGAACATCTTCCGAAGTGACAGCCTGGAAAGCGGGCGTCTCCGCCAGGCGAACCTTGACCTTCTCGTACGTGTCATCCAGGGTAATGGGGGGATCCATACGCTTCAAGTACGCCCGGAGGTCGTCAGCTGCCCTTCGCTGTTGACGCTCAGACTGTCTCTCATCGTCCGATCTCTTTAGGGACCTCTTTTCCTTGGCCTGTAACGCGTACGTTAGCGACGTTGGATTTGTGATGGGATTTTGGGCACGTACTCGTTCGAAGAGAACCAGAAGAATGTCGCGATCAATGTTAGCAGTACGTCGACTTTTCTTCATAACGCCATAGAACTCCTCAAACGTAGTCTGGGGTGTGATATCAAATCGCTCGTCCTACAAACTGTTAGCATGGTGAAACCACACACAAAGTCACAGGAAACGGGGTTGACATACGTCAATGACATCGTAGACATCGTTTCTGGCGCCGCGCATCGCTTTCTCCTCTTCTTCGACGAGATCCCAGAAGAGCTCTTGCGGACCCGAACCGCCCTGGCCGAGTATGGCCTTGTACCGGTCGTCATTTTCGATGAGGGGGTAAATCTGACGCCACTTTGTGCTGGCATTGATCTTGCCCTCTTTCCGGAGCTCAGTAAGGAGGGCGATGAACCCGTCACGAGCCTTGCGCTCCTTGCGGAACTTTCTGTTCTTCTGTTCCTGTTTAGAGTCGTTGAAAGCGCGCTCCAAGGCCTTCATGTGGTTTTGGAACGCGATCAATATGTCAAACTTGCTCAGGGTCTTGTACTTCTCATCATTCTGAAAGGGCGCCGTGGATGAAATGAGGCTCTGCGCGTCGGACCAGCGCGTATAAGGCTCCAAATTCAGCTTCGGAAGGAGATCAATCAGACCGTCCATAGCGGTTTTGCGCATAGCTGCCTGGTTCTCCATGTGGGCCTTCTTGAGCTCAATGATGTACTCCTCGAAGAGCTGGCGGCGCTCGGTTTCGTTGTCCGTAGACCTGAAGATGGTCTCACCTTCGATCATAGGCCGTGCCGTCTTCCACCTCGTGTAATGCTTGATCTCAGGGTGGCGCTTGAGCATGGTCTCGAAGTCAGTACGCAGCTTTGTCAGTCTCTCCTTTGCGCGCTCCTTGTCTTGGACGATCATGTCATGGCAGTACTTCTCGAAAGCTTCTTTTCGGTCCTTCGGGTCTTTGATTGCCCTGTACTGGGGGTCCTTTGCAATGGTTCGCAGCGCCTGCTCCCAGTTCCAGTCAGCTTGTACGCCGCTGCGCTTGAGCAGCTTGTTGAACGCGGCCTCAGCCTCTTCCTGTGTGGCAAACTCAGGCTCGTTGCTCGCAGGGACGAACGCTTTGGCTGTCGTGTCGTTACCAAACGTCAACTGGCGCGACTCGTGAAAAGTATCGCGATGGTCGCGATGAGAATCGTAACGGTCATTGGAGTACCTGTCAGAAGGTGCACCTCGGTCGTACGGCGCAGGCCTGCTGCTGTTAGTCAACGATGAAGATGGAGGAGCACAGGATTCGTACGCAGGCGTGCTTGGGCCGCTAGTGGCGCCCAAAGCCTTCTTGTAGGCATCGGGCATCTCCCAGGAGCTCGTTTTTGTCTCGGTATTGTACCAGTACTTGCGACCGCCTTCGGCAGTGTACTCTTTCCATGGCTGGTTGGCGAGGGCTCTCTGTCGTCTCGAATTAGCCAGCGGCTACATGGTACGGCCAATCTCAATCCATACCTCAGCCGGGGTCATCATTTCTTCTGGCTTGGTCCATTGCGTGACCTTGGTAGCTGCATTGTAGTAGTAGGCTCGGCCATCGGGCGTGCGATGCTCCTGCCACGCCGGAGGCTGGCTGTAAGGGCTGCCGGCACCGTTCATTGTGGCTCAGTTGCTGACCAGTGACTCGTGATGTGAGAACTATATCCGCAGCGTTCATGCGCTGATGACGACGCTGGCGACGATTGGAAGATGTTGCAGGCGACGAGCTGACGTGGAGGATCGTCGCGTAGGGGGACGCGAGAAAAGGTTGCGAATATTTCTGGTCGGAATGAGCAATTTGGCGCTTGGGACACAAACTGGTAGCTTGGGATGGACCCATTCTCAAGCCATGTTAGACTTGCTGATGTAAGCCAGTCGAGCCAGCCATCGCACTGTGCCAGAGACACTGAGCAAACAGTCCAGCTCAAACTGTCTAACTCCAACCGTTGGACCTCTCACCGAGCTCTCACCTCTTACAGCATTGCACAACTCAGGAGCGCAAAGCGCTTCATCCCAGGTGCACGTTTCCGATTGCGAATTTAACACCAGGCTTGTATTCATGAGGTGTCGCTGAGACCATTCTTTGCCCGGCATTGAATCCGGCTCATCGTCGGAGACGACGCGCATCGTGGAACTGTCCTCTGGTTGCTCACAACTGAGATGAGCCGCGATAGCACACAGAACAAGAGGTAGCCCAATATGGCTACAAACGAACAAATACGAGAGCCCACCGCTGTGGCAAATTTCATTGAGAATGCTTTCCTCACATACTTCATCCCGGAGGCAACAAATCTCGATCTTGAAGAAGCATTCAAGGGTGTCGACGACACCAAAGCACTGTTTGAATCCATCAAGCGGAGGGATACACTCTTTTTCGGTACCTGGTTCCGTCCTAGAACAATGAGAGACTCCCAACACTAACGATGCCTCAGATGAGACCATCGACATGCTCCTAGTTCTGAGAGTGCCTCTCGTTGACGAAAAGACGCTGCGTTCCCACTTCAGCAGGCTGGTAATTCAACTAGAGACCCAGATCGTCAACAGCCATGCCTCAGACCGTGAGAAGCCCTCAATGGACATCATCTTCCAGGGAACCGTCAATGACACATCGGACCCCTTCATCGTTGTGGATCAACCCGAAGTCGAGGACGATGAAGACCCCTCCGCCGAAAAGGACGAGTACGCTGGCAAGCGCAACGGCCACAGGAGAGAGCCCCACATGTACGCCGTATGGAAGCTCCCTGTCTTCCTCGCCCGGCCGCGCATCCGTCTTCAAGGTCCCTTTGCTATCTTCACGGCCACCGCCGGGATTAGGCCCGCATCCGCCGGGACCCCGGGCTCTGCCACTCCTCTCTCCCCCAACTTTCCCATTGGCGGCGGCAGCGGCGCGGGCTACCTCCAATCCGGCGTGCCCTCGGGTTTGAACCTCCTAGAGCCCTTCACGAACGACCCGGCACTCGGCGGCGTCGTCCCGCGCCTCTCGGCCCTCCGTGTGTCTCGCGTCGCCCCCATGACCCAATCAAAGGATACCACCCGGCCTCTCCGTGCCCTTTCCCAGCTCCGAGTCCGCATCTACCCTGCCGTGCACACGCGCGTCCGCTTCTCTCGCCCAAACACCATGCCTACGAGCCCGGCCCTAATCGCCCTGCTCGAAATCGACTTCACCCCCTACTTCGAGTGCCCCATTGACCTGACCAGCATTACCCTCTCCATCGCCGACGGCGGCGTCGTCGAAGACCTCAGCGGACCCGCGGGTCTCGCCCTCCCCATGACCTGTGTATCGCACGACCACGTCACATTCCTCTTCCGCCTCTCCCCGCAGCAGCTCGATCTTCCTTCCAAAAACCCCAGCCGCGACCTCGACATCCACGTTGAGGCCGTCATCCAGAGGAACCCGGGCATCTGCACCCCGCGCCTCAGCATGACCTGGGCCACCACCCTCGACTTCACTCTCCCCGTAAACCCGGGCTTTAACGCCGCCATGCAGCCGATGCAGCCCATTCAGCGCTCTCACCGTCCCTCGCAGCTCTCCATCAGCGGCATGGAGGCGGCCCAGTCGCTCGTTGCACCCGCCGTCTCCCGACCGGACTCTCTCCCCGCGCTCGAGGCCGCCACCCGCACCGTCGAAGCCCCGCTGCCCGAACTTGGCATTACCATGACATTCTGCGGTCCGACGGAGCCCGTCTATGCGGGTGAGGTCTTCTCCTGGACCGTCTACGTCGTGAACCGCAGCGCGGAGAAGGCCAACAACCCGGGCGTTGCGCCGCGCAAGCTCGCCCTCGTGGCACTCTCGAAGCGTAGGCGCAACGAGGTCCGCCTCATGCGGCCGCCCTCGACGAGCGGCAAGGGCAAGACGGCCGCCGATGCCAGGGAGCTTGCCGACGCCGTGCTGGACGAGAACGTCCTGCACGCCATGCAGCACAACTCGGCCGTGGATGCGACCGAGGTCGTCTGCCTGACGGCCGACACGAGGGTCGGGCCGCTTGCGCCCGGGGCTTGCCACGTTGTAGACCTCCAGTTCCTACCCCTGAAGGAGGGCCTCGTCAGCATCGAAGCCGTAAGGGTTATCGACCTGGGCTCGCAGGAGCACGTAGACGTCAAGGACCTGCCCGTCATGTTTGTAGAAAAGAGACCCGAGGAGCAAAAGCCGGAATGAAGAGCGACGAGAGTCTATTGGCGCGCAGGAAGGCCTGCACTTTGAAAACACAGTGTATACCTGGAAACGGGTCTTTCATGAACTATGCTACCCCAGGTGCAAAACCTCTGCTCCAAGCGATGCTATGACATGTTTCATCAATAGTTGTATGTCGCCGTTCCCATTCTCCATGGACCCCAAACAGTCCAAAGTCCAAACCACCTTGGGTATTTGTATAAAGTTACTTTAGAAAAAAGAACAAAAAAGAAGACCCATTCACGCCGTAACAATGCAAATGCAGGATCATTAAAAGTCGTCAAAGTCGTCATCCCATCCCAGTCGTGCGTAAATCGACTCTGCTTGCTCCTGTGGTGGAGACGGTGGCGCCGCTGCCGAAGCTGGCTTGCTTGTCGGCGTGGCCGCTACCTCGTCTCCTAACACCTCCACAGCCCGCTGCTTGCAGGGCGTCACCGGCAGGTCCACATCTGATGACTGCGACCGGACGGGTTGAGGCCGTGACCTGATCGTGTTACCGGATACACTTAGGTGTTGCGCCCGTGCGGGCTTCCTCGCCATCAGGGGCGACGAGGGTGGTATGGCGGGCTCGTCGGTTGGCGAAGGACCCAAGAATGACCCCCCGCGCCTCACAGGAGTAGCTTGGATGGCAGACGATGGCGTGCTGCCAAGGATGTCAATGTGGCCCCTCCGGGGCCCGGTAGAGGGAACCCTCGATGCGCTAGACGGCGGTAAACTCGACATTGGAATGGCCATGCTACTAGAACCCTTCGACTCTGCAGCCAACGCATCCCGGAACCGGTGGTTGGCTGGCGTGACCTTCACCTGCACCGAGTCAAAGAGGGGGTGTCGAGTCGGTTTCTTGGATTCTGAGGCCATCTGTTAGCAACATGTCGTTCGTCATGTATGCACAGGGCAAAGCATACTCTTAATCGAGGAAAGACCGCCAGAAGCCCGCTTCTCCGCGGCCTCAACAACAGTCTTGCCCGCCAAATCGCGGTTTGGTTTGCGGATGGCCGTGATAGCGTCCTTCAACTCGGCCTCAACAAGGGCCTTCTTCTGCGCCTTGACGTCGTCCAAAGCCGACAGGCTGCTGCTCCTTGAAAGTGAGCCTTGTCTGTCTACGGATGACTTCCGGCTGAGATCGCTGGTCTCCCGCTTGAAGCCGGGGATGTTGGCTGAGGTCGCCGATCTTAACAGAGCAATTGCGTTGCTAGGGCCTCTAGAGACACTGCGCCGTGATTGCTCCCTGAACAACGCCTTCTCGATGTTCTTCGTTGCCGGCTTAGGGGGGCGCTTCGCTGCAGCACCAGGCCGTGCGTCAGATTTGCTGGATGACAGCGACAAATTCGTCTTGGGCTGGGGCGGAGCAATGATGACTGGTCCGCCGAGTTTACGGCTGATCGAGTCACATATCTCAGGCAGCCGAGCGGCAAAGCTTGACGTTGTCAGAAGGATAGCGGCTAACATGGCAAGTCAGACTTACAATGGCATAACAATATCGGTGCAAAAGTCCTTGAGAGGGTCTGGGGAGGCCTTCAGCGCCTGCTCCCCGCCCGATGGCGCAGTAACCTGAGAATCCTCCAACATCCTCAATTCGTCGGAAGCCGTTGACTGCCAGATACACAGTCGATCGGCGTGTACGTCCGCCAGCACGGGAAAGTTGTGCTTGCTCCGCTTCTTCGGTTGAGTCTCGGCAGCTTTCTCAGCCTCCGGCTCACCAGGGAGACCAGGCAACTGGCTCTCCCCGGCCCCGTCGACCGTCCGCAAAGGCTCCAGCGCCAGAATCTCCAGGATAAGAATCATCTGCAGCTGCGTCTCGCGAGTCCTCAGCAGAGACACGTGCGACTTGATCTGTGCCGGCGTGATGGGCTTGTCTTCATCGCCAAACTCGGGCTGATTCAAGCTCCACCACTTGCGCACATGTTCGTCTTCCTCGGGGTACATGCCGTCCTTACCCAGCTTCATCTTCTTGGATTTCTTCTTCTTGGATTTGCTACCCTCATCGGAGTTGTCGATGTGCGTCTTCATTTTCGAGATTATGTCAGGTATCGTTTCGCGGTACTTCTTATCAATCTGGACTGTGGTCATAACAAGACTCTTCAGGAAGTCTATGAGGTCATTCATATTCATGGTGCCGTCGCAGTCAAGATGGAAGGCGGCGCGGGCTCGAGATAGCGGCCCTTTTGCAAAATACGCCAGAGATCCCTATGTGGCGGAGTCAGTCCAGTTCCCTCGATACGGCGGAGCCGACCTACCATTGACTTGTAAAGCGCCTCCGTATATTGCATCCTGATGTTTTCCATGATATCGCCAGCAGTCTGCTGAGCATTGGGTTCGGGAACCGGCTGTGGTGTCGGTTCAACAGCGTCCAGATGTGTCTCGATCCACTCCGTCAGCTCGGGCTTCGCTTCGACCGCCTGGTTCGATCCGCTGGGCGTCTGTGGGCGCGAAACGTCTTCGTCAGACCTTGTTCGCTTCTCTGCCCTCATGTCGTCAAACGTCGAGACTGACTGCGAGCGCCCCCTCTTCCTCACGATCGACTGCTGCAGCGCCTCAATCGCCAGCCTCTTCTCCTTGTGTCCCTTGTGCAGACCAGGCGTCGTCAGCGGCAGCTCCTGCCCCTGCTGAAATTCCTTCGCCTCCTCCGCCATCCACATACGCACGACATGCTTCCCCGTCACCGTGGCCTGGTCAGATAAGGCCAGCAAATCCACCCACGAGCCCAGCTTGCAGACTGTGTACAGGTTGTGCCCTGAGACGGCGGCGCGTTCGAGCGCGTAGACTGACTTGGAGGCGTCGTTGCGCGCGAGGAGCACGCTCGGCTTCTCGGCGACGCGGTCTTCGAGGTCGAGAATCTTGATGTGGGATTCATAGAAGCGGCTGGAGGGGAAATCGCCCTGTGGAGCGCCGAGGTCGAGGCATGAGAGCGAGAGGTATTCGCGAGGGAGCAGCATGAGAGGCTGCAGTGTGCATGGTTTCGCAAGGATGCTGGGAGGATGCGCCTGCGCAACGGGTCAGTCGTCGGGTACGACGCGACATCATGTTGGATACGGCGACACACCTTGACGATAATGGCAGCCTTCAACAGGTCTCCCATTGCGTGGGAACCGCTGCGCCGTCTCTGCGCCGTGTCGACGGGCGGCGGCAGGGCTGCATGTTTGGAGTTTAGAGAGCCATCAGAGCTGGGCGTGAGGATTCCCGATCTTTGACGCGACGCGTCTGAGTGCGGGAACAGTTTGGTGGAAGACATGGATTCATGGGAGATGGAGAGGAAAGGGAGACTTGAAATGATTCCAAAATGCCAATGTAGGAAAGTATAAAGCTAAGAGAGACCGTCGAGGACGTACGGGTCGTTTGTCACTCTCGCGATACCAGTCAGACGTGAACAAGGTGCATGGGAAGTGGGATTGCGGGCAAAGCACTTAAAGTGGCATGCCTGGGTTAAGCGACGACGCGGTGATTGATTGGGACTGCTTTTTTCCTCCATTCGTACCTACCTTAGGTAGGTAGGTGGGTGGGTAGGTAGTGTATGGCGTCACGCGTCGGTGGTCTAGCGCATCCTACAGCGTGTTCTTGAGGCCGTGCGGTGGGGGGGGGCCTTGAAGCGGCCATACGGTGTTGTTTTGCCGGAGCTAGAGGGACTGGGCGGTTCGACCGGCCCCACCATCAACGTTCAACGTCATTCCGTATTCCAGCTGGGCAAGGCAGTTTTGCGAAAGGAGTGGTTTGGCCTCTTTCAAATCAGAAATATAGAGAAACACGTTTTTAGAGCCCGTCACAGAGTGAAGGGCTTCCAAATTTGTTCGAGTTTAATAATTCTAGCCGACTGGGTGATTTGATCCCATTCACTGGTCTGAGGAAGCATGTTGATTCCTACATATATCATGTCACCGCCGAAATCCATCACATACGACCATACCCACTGGAGAACTCGGGATCCCGTCCGCTCTCCCATAGATAAGCCAGTGAGGGCAGCCTTATTATGGGAGACAGTGTTCTGCTGACAAATCTGTGTGGAAAACAGAACAGACCTATAATTCTTTATACAGTGCTATGATAACCTTTGCTTTAAACATGGAGCCTTCGGGTCCTAAACGCTGCCACAGAATGCCGATCGCTTACTGTCGCAGAAAAGCAAAACAGCTTAGGGCCGTTCCATCGCGATATGAGGAGATCGCTGCTTAATCCATGATGACAGTCTTGTCACCATCCTCCAGGACGCGGTCAAGCAATGCAATATTTCCATGCTGGTTTGTCTCAACCCAATGTTCGCGTATTTGGCGAACGGCTTTGTAAAGTCTGTCGGGATAGGCGGTGTCGTAGGCGGCGAAGTCAATCTTTTGCTCGTGGTCGCTCAGCCAATGAAGAAGATGGATGATGTCGCGAACATCAAAACCCAGCTTGGCAATGGACCGCGGGCGAGTACTGCCAATGTACTGGGTGGCGCGTTTGATCTTCGTCAGGATCAACACACCGGGAAGTAGAACTGGGACAGACCCTGTAAACGTTAGAGGTCATTTTGTTGGACGGGGATAATCAAACTCACCGTCGCCAGGGCGTATGACAGGAAGCTGTCGGGGGAGGTTGAGAGCACCGAGCGCTAGAGTCTCGACCGGAAGGCGCAATTCCCAATTTCCATCTGGGACGAAGAAAAGCTTCAAGTTAGAAGTAACGAAGCGCGAGTCCGCATCGCATAAGACTCGGGTAACGAGACTGCGCATCTCCTGTGGATCAGTGACGCCTATCTCGACATCAATGTCCTCAGTATCGCGGTCATGGCCAAGCATGCGCAACGCAAATCCTCCAATGAAAGCATGCTCAATTCCGTTCTCCCCGAGAATCCTGGAGAGGCAGGCAGCGGCTTGCTTCAACGTGTCGCCGGATTGCGTCATCACGATTACGTTTTGATGATTCTTCCTTTCAGCAGAACTAAAGGTTAGTACATGATCAATAAATCTTACAAATATTAAAAAAGCTAGAACCAGATCTCACCTTGATGTGCTGCTCGAAATGGCTTGGGATATTCAAGTGTTGGGTTGTCAAGGGGGGGAAATATCCAGACCGGGCAAAAGCGAGGGGGAGGGGAGGGGCAGGTAGAGGGGAGGGGCGGGTAGAGGGAAGGGACGAAGAGGTTTCAGGGCACCTACCTTGATTTCCTCGACCATAAGATAAGTTTTTTGTTCCGGCATCTAGAATAATGCAAGTACCTTCAATCACTTCCTGAAATTGACTTTCATATTCAGATGTGGCCAACTGGTTATTTCCATTGTGCTGCCTCATGTCTTATTACTGGGTAAATCTTCATATCGTAGCTTGCCAGAAACCAACCGAATCAACGTTTCTCTATTCCAGTCTTCGTTCTTCCTAAAATGCCAACCTCTAATATTGTTGAGAGCATCCTTCATCTCCAAAGCCTCCTTCTCCGCCAATGCTGCAGCATCCTCATCGTCCTCTCGGGAACCAACAGCCTCGTCGTTCACACGATCTTCTGGAGTTTCCATGTAGTCCCCCGGGTAGCTCATGTCAAACATGCTGTAAGCAATAACGCCCGCAAGATCTGCGATTGCCATGACTCGAACTCTGCTCCCTTTGCTCTCTCGAACGATGATACGCAGGTAGGCGGCGCAAAGAGCAGGCAAAGGCACTGTCCAGATAGTGCAGGGAAGCAACCTTTCGGATGTTGCGATGATGGTTAGCTCGTCTTTTTCAATGCCCGTCCAGGAAAGAGGCACGAGAATGAATTTGGACATTGGCTTGCCATAGACATAGCGAAAGCCTTGCTTCGCGAACTCGGAGAGGTACGATAACGGAAGGTCGTCGTTTTTAGCGAGCTTCAAGCCGCTAACTGTGGCAATATTGTTGGCTTCTTCAAGTTGATCGTCTGGGACCAAGAATATCAAGTCCCGAATCCGAAGTCAGTGAGAGGCTATGACCGGGTCAGGGTCCTGGCAACTTACCGGTTTGGACGAGAGCGGATAGCCCAACCGTCTAAGGAGAGGATTTTCCCATTCTACAATAGTAATCTTGGAAGTTTCAAAGCCCTCCAGCGTTCTGAGAAGTTGATGGTCTGTACCAGGCAGCATACTGAGATTGGGACGGCGTAGCAAGCTTTACTGGATGTATATGTGTTGTGTCGAAGTAGAAGTGGTGTTGACAGAAGTTTGCTTGTTAGAGGTTATCTCCTATTGACTGGGGGAGCTATATGGGAAGGTGGGCCGTTTGCAGTGGGGAGAGTTTTCTGCCGAGGTGGTGGGGCCCACGCAGAGACTGAATGTGTTTTAACTTTAAAATCAACTTAACCGCCTGATCGCAACCTTGGCGGCTGCGCGCGCCTGGAAATTAGGTGCGTCGAAACCTTACCGATTGGTTCGAGTTCTATGCGACCCACCCACCTCTTGCAGCCCGTCGCATGCTTGGTGCGGTTCAAGTTGACTGTGCTGCCCCTGCCTGAGGCTCAAGACTAGAAGGATGTCACTAACTGCCCTTTCCCTTTGTTAGCCGCTTCAGTTGCATATTCACTCTAGAGCTGTGCATTAAGTGAGTGCAGCATTTGAGGGGACTTAACATCAAGAATTTCTAGCACACAAAGAAAGCTCTCTAAGATTTTTATAATATAAGAAAGATATAGTTTTGTGCTTATTATAGGCAATTAAAGCATTCTTCTCCTCTCTAGGGCCTCTATTGTTATTACTACTGTTATTGAGGAAGGCTAGCGTAGGTAACATCATGAGAAGGGGGAAAGGGGAGAGTGTTAAAGGGGTCGAAAGGTGGAGAGGATATGAGAAATTGAAAAGTAAAACCCTATTTGTCTTTTTTTTTGTAGGAGCAAGAGAAGTGCAGAGACTCAAGGTCAGTGGCGGGGCCTGCACGTATCTCAGCGCTATGTGCTATAGACAACGAGGTGGAACCGGCGTTGTATGTTTTTTGTTGTTTTTCCAAGCTCATTTTCTTGCCTTTTCTGCCTCGTCTCGTGCATCATGTCATGAATCCTATAGCTAATACTGAGTGTTTCCTGGCATCTGATAGTTTGTTGCTGATTTAGAGAAAACGAAATGTGTGATGAATGCATCTACTAAGTCCAGAGCAACTTCCAGAAGCTGAGCCGCATATCGCCATTATCGACTTACACGCATAGCTTGTCGACCACTCGAGATAATGGATTTTCAGAAACTTTCCGGAAATAAGCAGCCAGTTAGGTCTCCCGGATGCTCGATATGGGACTTCACCCAGGCCCCCAACAAATTTGGCCTCAGTTGCCCTCGGAATTAACCTCGCTCGCCTATTCCCTCTGCGCCCTCTTCGATCGCCTATAAAAAATCCTCTTCCTTCAAGTCTCTCTCAGTTTCTCTTCTTATTTTCTTCTCCAGATCTCTCGTATGCATGCTAAGAACGAGGGCAGTATCTGTTCTCATTGGTCTAACCAACTAGTACACATTCTACAAGGATGCAAGACTGCACTGACAGTAGACATGTAAATATTTTTCGAACCGCGGGAGGAGGATCCTCTGTGCTCATCTCCTTGGCTCCTGGTATCACACTGCCCCAAAGTGACGCGAAAGTTCTACTCTCCGACTTATTTTATACCCTGCTTCATTGCGTATGCTCCGGTTTGACTGCTGATGTGAATACTGTTAGTTCTATATCGGTTTATTGCGTGGTGGGCGCGATAGTGACATAGTTGGTCATACTACACGAGCACGTGGGTGAATCATGGCAGTTTCCAAGGCCAAGTATCCAAGAAATCGCCATCATGCAATAATGTTTCGTGCCCATTCTCATCAGGGCATTAAACCAGGTCGTTAGTTCCCGTAATCTATAGGACTAAGGGTTTCCTCTACGTTATCGGGGATCTTGTACCGGATTGAGGGATCGAGATGTGGCATAGGCCAAAGGGGTTGCGTATTGGGTTATACGTGTCGTGATATTTACATACCGGCTGAACTAGGCCAAACCGTTTATGGAGATCTGGAACGGTTGTGTGCAGTAAATCTATGGTATCAAGCTGCTTCAAGGCTTAGTTCAAAGCGTGCCGAGGAATGCAAGGAAAGCCATCCTCTTGCAACAAGCTTGGTCCTCCTTGTGCACCCGCGTGGAACTTGAAGCACGACCAGACAGAATGCCAAGAATGAGACCGCCACATTGCGGCCCCTGTCTCTGCTGATTTATGTAGTCTAGTAGACATATGTAACAGCTGAAAGTCAAACACGAGTAACCTTTAGCGGGGCTCTGCGAGAGAGGTGTTGAAACCTGAAGCCGTAGACGTTTCCCGACTGAGAAACTGTTGACTTTCTGTAGTTCCCCTTCTCCCTCGTAGCTTACCACCGTGTGCCGGTCTCCACGAGAGCCTTCATTCCTCTCTCTCTCTGTCTCTCGGGGTGACACACTTAGGGCCCTTCATCTCGACTTGCGAGCCCTTCGGCTCGCTATATGCCATCCACCATCCCTTATTGCCCGTCACCTTTGATCATAGCGAGCCCAAGCCCCTTCGAGATACGGTTCTCTGACAGTATGACCTGCCCAGGACTCTCCGCACGCGTGCCGAACTTCGGCAAAAAGATGTCATGCTATTCTACCGCTCACGCATGAGGCAAAGTCTGCCAGATCAGATGGTCCCAAAAAAAAAGAAGGAAATATCGGCACGGTTTCTTTCGCCCACAGCACTACCCGTTCGTTTTGTCCTATGCTCGTTTTACCCCCCCGGAACCGGTCTGCCCGCCTTGCCTTTCGCTTCGCACGCTTTCTCCTGGACCGGGGAAGGCCCTGCGTGCGGCGTAGCCGGCATGGTCTGAACCCGCGACCCATGGCCTTCTGTTCTGTTCACGAGAACGAGTGGAGGAGAAGAGGTGGACTGATAGAACAAGCGTTCCGCACAACGATGGGGTCTCCGCGGGTCTGGGTTCCAGGCGAAGCTTATGCAGTTCAGTGTATTCCGCGGCCACGGCGCAGCAACCTTAAGGCCTGTAAGCGTAAAGGGCCATCAGCTTTTGACTTTGGCCAGATGCCGTTCCAACAGTGAGCTATTTGTTAGAGCTAGAATTTGGTCGCAGATACCCAGCTCGAAGTCAGCCTGGGAGGAGTAGAGAAAGCCGAGGGGAGGGAGGGAGTCGTCGGTTGGAAGACGTCACCTGAGAGCTGGGAGATCTCTCATGCTCTCCCAGACAACCATCTCCGGGCTGTCAGCTACGCAGAGGCTTCTTCTAGGTATCTGGATGGAGGCGCATGTTGGGACGACAACAGCACAATGGGAGTATGTGCGAACCCCCCTCCCCCCCTCCCCCTCCCCCTCCCCTTGGCATTTGAAACGTCCAGGAGCAGTACAGCGACGACGAGACCATCGTTTCGAACCGCTGAGGCAGATCTGCAAGACTAGGACCAACCTAGAGTTGGCTTCGGTCCTCTGCTCCCCGCAGTCGCAGAACCTTCATTGCCTGAAGTCTGGAAGTCTGGGAAAGAAAGAGATCGCCCCGGCACCACACAGAAGTTTCCGTCGGGAGATCGGCACCCACGGAGAGGGCCTGCGTATCGTAAGGTCCTTTGGACGACACGGACCACGGCTGCGGAGCCTCATCGTCCTCAAAGCAGCCAGGGAAGTTCTGCCTACATACAATGCCTGTGCTGGTTGCGACCAGATTTGACGAACTCAAACATCGTCGAGGAAATGCCCAAGGTTGGAAGCAAAACAAGCATCAGGCATCACACGAGGACTGTTCGGAGTCGCCAACAGTATAGGGGCTCTCAGACCCATCTTAGGTTATCACTAGACTGCGTAGGCTTCCCCCGGATCACCACGAGCCATGGAAAGGTGTCGAGAGGCTGCGTTCCACGCCCGGGGGCCCCAAGTCGGTCCTTTTCTGGCTGCAGGCGAGGTCAGTCAATATCCACGTCGGGAGCCGAACGACCCAGGACACACGAGCCCGACAATGGAAAGCAGAACGGTTAGCAAAAGGCACGTGTGCTGTTGATCCTTAGGCTAGCTAGAATCCTATTGTGTTGAGTATCGGGAATGATACTTTCAGTGTATTTCTATGACTGTGTATGGCCAGCATTATGTACCTGTGCGACCCTACGGCCTACTGGATCAGTACCTTGGTCAGCTAGAATCCGGCAAAGGCCTCACAATGACAATCTCCTCCAGTTACTTTGCCCGATAGGTTCTGGGGTGTCGCCCAGAAACCTTATACGGGGCAGTCACTGTTCAAGGGCACTCCTGTCCTTCCGAGGGTTTAGAATTGTGATCCGGGCAGCACCAACTTCTACCTTCACCCCTGGCCGGAACCAAGACTAAGAGCACCTGGTCAAAGCACCAGCCTGGAATCTCGCGATAGCCTCGTGCTCGGGGCGGCCTGGAATCCGGGATACCCATAGAAGCATGTCGCAAGCTACCTCTTCGTGTAAGGCCGCCAAGGAAACCTGGTTGCCGCAGGGACCTTTGCATGTATCGGGCGATGTTGACGGTATCAAGGCCACCAGCAAACTGGTCAGAGTTCCGTCTGGTAATATTAGGGGAAGAAAAGAAGGGGGTTGGGTTGATCGACCCGAACGCTAGTCTGCGCTATACCGTTATGCTTGAGGGCCATTCTACACGATGCGTCAAAGCCAAGTTGCGCTCTCTCGCGCGCAAAGAAGCTTACGAGACTAGCCCTCAGCCGTGCTCAAGAATGGCCCTCGGAGGCGTGGTATGATAGCTACCTGACAGCGTGACACCCGAGGACCTATGACCGCGACGAAGATGCTGGGTTGCATTCTTGTGCGGAACCGGTCATGTTTCCCTCTCCACCCAGCAGGCTTGTGCGGAAGGCCGTTATGACGCTGCCCGCTGCAGATGATATGGGTGGAGGTAGCATGGCCACTCCCGCTTCGTGTTCGCTGCGCTCCTGAACGCAAACCAAACAACCTGCATCAGGCAGATGTCGTGCTCGACAGTTGTTGGGGCACGAAGGTATCGTATTTCCCCCACGGCCACTGCAGAAGCCCGAATGAAACAATGCATCACATCACAGCAACGGTGGAATCGTGGAAACAGGATCGACCGCCTCTCTACGGGGACGGGCATCTTGGTCCCCAGATCTAAGACCATGTGGCTGGCCGCTCGAGAGAAACGTGCAATCTAAACTCCCACCTGCCGGCGGTGAGAGTGCTTAGTCAAAAATATGCACAGAGAGCTTCCATCGGTCGCTCGCTGTGCGTGGGAAAATTCCTATCGGAGGTCAGAGTAGCAGACGTGTTGAGGGGGGGTGCGGACGGATGGTAGAA